TGTGTGTACAAGAAAGAGAGAGAGATCTTCATACAGCAGAATTCATCCAGTTAGAGCAGTAACTCAAACATAAAAACACTGCAGGTAGAAATGCGGCGGACAGGAAGCTGGGTGTGATTCAAATCCTGTTTATGTTTTAGTTTCTCTCTCTTCTTTTTTCTCTTTTTATTTTTGTGCCATCAGCTGTGGCTCTGACATCCTCTGGTGGTCTGCTGGGATTCTGTTCCACTTCCCATTAATTATTTGAACCCACATAAACATGCATGCAGGGAAACACATCATTCACCCGAACATACTCGGTGTGTGTGTGTGTGTGTGTGTGTGTGTATGTGTGTGTGTGTATGTGTGTGTGTGTGCTTAGGACAGATTTTCACCTTGCAGCCCATTAATTATCCACGGCATATTTAATGTGATCGGGCTGCTGCGGTTTGCAACCATCAGAGATCGGGTCAAAAAAGATGAGCACTGCTTTCCCTTCATGTTTTCCCTCATTTTATTGCATTTATCTTTTGTCAAGTCAGCAAAGTGTGACACGAAGTGATCTGGTGTCTTCACTGAATAACCCAGGACCCGTTGACTTGCTTTGTAAACATTACTTTCTCATAGGTTTCCACAGTCTTGATTAAATAACATTATCAATAGAAATGCTGCCAATCCCAAGAGACCAGACATAAGGGATAAAAATCGAGAGCTGTGTGCAAAAGAGAGACTAAAATGAAACGTCTAACAGTGCATTCACTGTTGCATGCCAGAATTGTCTGAGTGTCCCATATGTGTGTCGTCTGCCCACTGGCAGAAATCACTCACGCTATCACTGTGTGTTCCTTAATTCAGAGCGACTTGAGCAAGTAACATGTCATGTTCACCCAAACTGCAGGATTGAAGAGAGGCAGCTGTCACCAGAGTCCAAAATGAAAAAGAAACTAGAAGATTTCTGAAGKGTAGCGCTGCGGCTACTGGTGCACACGATTCCAGCATAACTTTGTGATATTCAAAAGTGGAAAAAATATCACTTWTTAATGTCTGAACTGTATAAGAAAGAAAATCACCATATGCATGTTAAAGCTGCTTCCAGTGGTCCATTAGGGTCACACAAGGTAACCTGTTACTTGTGTTGAACATTTTGTTGTAAAATCAGTAAAAATAAAACTTAAACTGTGCAAAAAAATAAGATAAAAAATGCCTATTTATACATGTAAAATTAAATTTTTTGTGACCTGTTTATAAGCCACAGAGCTTCTAAAAGGGCAGTTTTTTTTTCAATTGTTTTACCAAAATCCTATTGATTTTTTTCTCACAGATTTTGTTATGTTAGGCAATTAACTAATACTAAAAGTCAGAGCACTCCATTCCCAACTGAGCCATACATTTTGGTGTATGTTATGCATGTTTTATTTCACTGCTGCAAAACAAGATACAGAACAGGCATTTACACAATACAGAGTGCTTCCATACTTCAGCATCGGTGCCTTTACAAGRTTATGTTAGCCATCAAGGGTTGATGACTGGATGGACATAACATTTTACATATAAAATAGAAAACATAGCAGCCTTTCTCAATCACAAGACCAAACWATTTAGTTTATGTTGGTAAAGTTGGGTAAACTGTGTGAAACCCTGAAGWTCTGACTATATTTTCAGAAAACCACCTGGATGATCCATCCCACTTTTATGAATAGTCCTCTGGTACAGTAAACACATTTTACCAATATTTAATATTTTGTTGTTATTTTTTTACATTTTTAATTGACTTTTTGTTGTCTTTTTATCTTTCTTTTTTTCTCTCCTTTACTTTRGTGTGCATTTCAAATGTTATATTCTATCTCGGGGAAGTAGTAGTTGTAAAGGCTGTTTTAATTATTATTATTATTTTATTTTATTTTTTCTGCTTGGTCTTCAGAGGAGTCGGACACTTTTTGCGCTCTCTCCCAAACCTGTCCCTCCTTTCCTGGTTTGCAGCTTTTTCAAGACTTTCTTCTACCTATCATCCGAAAACAAAAGGATTTATGGATTTGGTCAACTGATCTCTGGATGCAATCGACACGATTTTTTCCACATTGAGATTGGAACGTGGGGAACATAGCTGTCCCAGCTGCTTGTTGGGTCACTGGTTCTTGGGGCTGGAACCTGATCTGTTTGGCACCGCTTTCCATTGAAGACATGGAAGATTTGTACATTTTTGGATTTCTGATAGTTGGATTTCTGCTGATCGGCGGAGGCGGATATCTGGCTTATCGGAAAATGAAAATGATCCTGACAGCAGTCCGGGCCTGTGAGAGGCTGTCAGGAACCATGGACGGAATCTCCCACACTTGTAAGGCACAGACTCAGACACTGGGGGAAATATGTCGCAAACTGGATGTGAATCTGATGAAAATCGCAGTTCAGCAGCATGCCCATGAGATGTAGGATTACACCTGGGTGACGTTTCAGACGGAAGAGGCAAGGAGATGATGAAATTCGGAACATTTGGCATTTTTGCCATTTCAGAGATGCAGTTAAGACTGTAAAGCGGCAAGAAATTTGAGGCCGCTTGTCCCAAAACAATTGTGTTTTTCTTTCGGATCTCAGCAGCTGCTGGCCTTGGTCGGTCGGCAGTTGTCAATACTTCCCCGGATGATATGTCAACAAAGGATTGATTCCCCACTCCCTATCCTCGTATCATCCATGAGGATCAGTCTGAAGGCTGTGGTGACAGATAAAGGGGAAACCCTGAACTCTGAGACTGAGCTTGGGAGGATAAGATCTGGTCTCTGGACTCTGGCGGGTCCTAGTCTTGGATTGGTTCCAGCACAGAGTATTAATCTGGAACGTCACCGGCTCCACTGAATCCCGCCCCCGTACCATGTGTTTGATCCCCAGCTGCCTTGCTTTAGCGAGTCGTTTTTTTTGTGCATATGATTCTGTGTTTATGAGTAAATAAAGGATCAGATCAACTTTTTCTAAACTCACCTATCCTATTGTGTTTTTTTCCGAACTGCAAATAAGTAGTGCAACCATGTTTGTGCAAGACCTGTTCATCCGTTCACCCCCAAGTTTGTTACATGTGTCTTTCTCCTGAACGGAGTGTTCTTAACTGCAAATTTGTTCTGCATTACATTTTTGATGTTGTGTGTGAATGACAATAAAGCTGTTTCTGATTTTGATCAATTATGATGCACATGTCTACTTTTCTTTTTTAAGTAATACAACATGGCATTATGATGTTGTGACTATATGTTATATAAAATTTCCTTCCTTGAGAATGAATACAGATAAAATATAAAAAAGATACATGTTAGCAGTAATAATAGATTTATGGAAGAAATAATATCTAAAAACCATTTTATTCTATTTCTTCTATATGGATTTATCAATCTGTGGATTTGGCTTGGTAATGTTCTTGGCCAGAAGCTATATTTTTGTATATACAGCGAAAGAGAAAAGGTGGTACTTTAGTCCACTGTTTAAAATTCTTATACAAACTGATGGCAAATTACGATATTGCCTCATTTGTGTATTTAGAAGTCATGAAGTTTATCTTTCAGTTTTTGCTTAGTTATAATCAGTGCCAAAAGAAAAATTAACAAAAATCCAGGATAATTAAAGAGAAGGATGAGTGTAAATACTGCTTGATCTGTTTGATTCTTTAACATCTCAGTCTGTGTACTATAATTAAAAGATTTTAAAAAAAGTTCTTTTTGAATCTTGACATGCTTTTAAAGCTGTAAACATGAGCGTTGAGCAAACAGAAACTGCTTAGCTTTAGATTTAAAATAGAAAAAGAGCAAACATAGCAGCACAAGACAAATTAAATCCTTTAATAAGTCACTGCTTGCAGCAGCTGAGTAGGAGCAGCCTGGTTGTTAAGAGTGTGTTCATACAGATTATTAATGTGTAAGAATTATTTGATCATGCAGTTAAGGCACTATTTCCCTCTCTAGAGCAGTAATAACAGAACAATGAGCCGGATGGCTACAATTAAATTATATGTGTGTAACTTGTTGGTGAATGAGTTTGAGTTTGAACCATCTCCACGGATATGATTGCATATTTGAACATGGACTCGCTTTCAGTGTTAAAGAAAGGGCCTGTGTTAATATAAAGAGGTTGTCGTTCATTCCCCTGATTCTAGCTTAAATAAATAATGCTCAGCCGTGTGCTGAAGACTGTGCCTGTTAATCCAACGACTGATTTAACACGATGCTTTAAAAATAAAAAGCCGTGTTAGACAAACAGAGAAAGCAAAGAGAAGGATATTAAAAGCTGCATCAGTGAGATGATTGTGGCTGATAGCAGATGAAAATAGGACCTTAGATGCTATTCCTGGCTCCGAGTGATGTAGGCTGGCTTCATATAGAGATGAAAGACTGGCTCTGTGCTCTGTCTGCTCACACGGACGTACCACCTTCCAATAATAACAACATTCCTGCTGCTTGCCAAACTCTGGAACTCAAACACAGAGAAAAAGCTGCACAAATTTTGAGCAATCTTGGATTTAAAAAAATACAACATTTTATTGCATTTTTTTWAAACTTTCCCTTGATCATTCGCCACCTCCCGTCCTTTTTTTCTCCTCTAATGTGTCACTAATTGCCATCCTCTTGATGGAAGTAATTTAGATCAGCGGGGGACACATTTACGCAGGCTGTTTGGGTGTAAAACACACAAATCACTGCCGAAGTGCTGTGAGGAGGAGTGTGATCCCTGCTACTCGGCTTGTTGATGCTGGAAAAATGCACTTATAGTGCAAACGACTGTGAACTTAGGTACTACTAAAATCAAATCTAAAATATGCTTTAGACAGCTTTGCACTTGTGTTATTAAGCAAAAATACAATCTTTTATTTTTTTTAAATCTTAATTTTTAATTGTTTTATTTGGATTCGTACTTAATTGCAATGGAGTAATGTTAAACTTTTTGCAGTGGAAGTTTTTGACATTCATTTTTAAATTGTGTGAGTGGCCAAACGGAGGAAAAGTTTTGTAATTGTTTCCAACTCTGTTTGTGCGTCTCATTAGTTCCACAACCTCCAGGAAATGCAGCACAGTGCATCGTTGGTAACGAAGGTGTTCATCCAAAGAGACTACAGTGAAGGAACTGTGTGCCGATTTCAGACCAAGTTCCCCTCAGAGCTCAACAACAGGGTGAGCACAAACCTCAAACGCAGACTGCTGCCAACACTACATCGAATTATCCGTTTTGTTTATACTTTTGAGCCCAAAGCATAAAAACTTCATGCTGCCATTTTTTAGGTTAACTAATCAGAATTGTTCCCACACACACTATATATATATATATATATATATATATATATATATATATATATACCTTTTAACAGATACTACAAATTATGAACGTGTCTCTGGTTCTGGCTTTGCTCCATTGGCTTCCTGTTTGCTTTAGAAAAGATTTTAAGATTTCACTGCTTCCTTTTAAAGTTCCCCATCATACAACCACACCTCAGTTAGAACACCTCATTCATCCAACCAGTTTCTCTAGATCTGAGTTAAAACTCAGAGGTGATCAGGTTTTTGCAGTTTCTGTGCCAAATTTGTGGAATGGTTTACCTTTTTGCATTCAGACAGCTGAGACCATCTATATGCTTTGTATTCTGGCAGAGTTTGAGATTCTTTTAGAACTCATGTTTTTATGTTCTGCATTTTATATTATTTGACATTTTTGTGTTTTATTTGTTCATTTGGTTGAATTGTGAAGCACAGGTCAACTTCTGCTGTTTTTAAGTGCTGTATGAATGAATTGACAATGACATTAAAAATCACTTAAAAAGACAAGTTTTAGTAATTCGCACTCTGATGAGAGACAGTCAACACATGGGGCAAAATAAAGTAATGTTTTAGCATCACTTCAAATTTGTCTACTCAGCATTTAGCAGAGTTATCAGGTGACAAAGTACAAATACTTTACTTTACACAAGTAAATTTTTTGTTATTTATATTTTACTGGAATAATTATTTTTCAGCCATTTTTTAAATTTCTAATCCTTACATTTTCATGCAATTATCTGCATTTTCTAATCCTAACATTTTAATAATTCAAAATTCTATTTCACATTGGCTTCTTTTCATTCCAGCATGTCATTGCTCATTTAAAAAAAATGCTGATAACACATTTTCAACACTGACATTATAACATTATAGTCATTTTATCCTTCAGAAAAAATGTTTTTAGGGAGGTTTTTGAGGGAGAGGTGTGGTGCAGCCTGAGCTTTTACCCTTAAAGGCTATTTTTCCCTCTTGTATTGTTTTGCTCTTATACTTTACAAAGTTTTAAAACTAGTATTTTACTTGAGTAAAATGACTAAGTTGATCATTCTACTTTCAAAAATAGTAAAAATATCAACTCACTGAATGAATGTGAATACTTTTAACACCTCTGGCCTTTAGTTTGTCCACATTTAGCAACTTGAACATTTCTCAGATTATTGGTTGGTTAAACTGCAGTATTTTAGTTTGGTAAGTTGTCAAGGTGGAACAGCTTGATGTCCCAGTCATATTTTTACATTTGTCCATTTATTTTTAGATTGAGAGAACTTTGCTTGATGAGACGGTGAAGACCCTTAACTCTTATTATGTGGAGGCTGAAAAAATTGGTGGCCATTCGTACCTGGAGGGATGTCTGGCTTGTGCAACAGCTTACATCGTCTTCCTCTGCATGGAAACCCGCTATGAGAAGGTAATCTACTGTGTCTTTACTGAAACAGATCAACTCTGAAGCCCAGACTGAGACAAGCTGTCATTATTTGCAGAAAACACGCCGAAGCAGTTGGGGTTTTCCTTACGTTCTTTCAGCTCCAAACAGTTTTTAGACGATAAACAAAGGAACGTGAAGATAAGATCAGATTCTCTGTGCCTCTGTGTTTTATTCTGCTCTAAAGGCCCACACCTGTGTGCCTCTGGCACGTCAGCTCCGTTGCACTCGGCACAACCACGATCATGCTGTTTGTTACTCACTGAGATGGAACAAGAACACACACATGCATAATGCAATCAGAGACGGAGCTCCTGATTAGTCCTCTTGTGATCCTCTGTGTACCTGCCGGTGTTTTAGATAAAACTCAAGGGCCGTGTGGTTCCAGCTTTACCTCTCTGTTCTGATCTCTGTCTCCCACATCCTTGTCTTGTTGCAGTTTCTAAGCATTTCTTCTTCAAAGCAGTGCAGAAATTTACGTGAGCTTGACCAAAAACCAACAAAAAGCAAGATTTACTGCTGTGTTGAATCCATGCAGAAATGTCCTTTCATCTCCCCATCAGCTGGTGCTGCTTCATTGAGATGCTCAGATGCTATCAGCTGCACAGGAAAGTTGTTTATTTACTTGTTTAACTTTACCAATTGTGCAGTAGCGGATAACGATAAAAAAAATCCCACCCAGGTTGTGGTTGACAGTGCATCTACTCGTGTGCCGCACAAAGCTGAATGTCCTATCAACTTCACCAGATAAAAGCTCTGCTTGTATCGCAATCCTTCAAAGGACACAGATTGTTCTTCAGCATGTCAGAACGTTGCATGTAAGCACAAAAATGTCAACAATTTTCCCATCATCTTTATTTTTTAGTTTGCTTCCTGACTTTTTTTATTTATAACATAGCTGTAAAAATTATATAACAAAACCATCAAAACACAGCTCAGACATGCATCACTATTCAGATGTTTCCTTGCAAAAGAGTTTTTAAGGAGATTTATGTCAGAGACTAAAGTTTTCTTTTGTGTTCGGTTCGTAGCTTTGAGTTAGCAGCTGGTTCTGCAGCTGTCACAGGCCTCTGGCGTCTGATAGAACCACCACTCAGTGTGTTGTTTTGTCTCTGTTAAGGATGACTGCTGGTGTGACCTTTGAATAAGTTACAAGAGAATGGGAATCTGTCATGCATAATGAATAAGCTGAACAGCACATGCTGCAGTCAAATACGGCAGTGGTCTTTAATTAAAAGTCAGAGGTTTGCCTAAAGAAATTATTCTCTTGCAAGAGTCCTGACTGTACAGCACTGTATATATTTGAATTCTCTTTTAGTGAGAGTCATGCTCAGTTGTGGCTGGTGAGGATATTTGTAGGGAAGTAATACATACAGTGGGTAAAATAAGTATTGAACACGTCACCATTTTTCTCAATAAATATGTTTCTAGAGGTGCTAATGACATGAAATTTTCACTTGATGTCGGTAACAACCCAAGTGATCCATACATACAAAGAAATCAGACTATAAATGTCCAGAAATGAAGTTATTTGTAATAATGTGGAATGACACAGGGAAAAAGTATTGAACACCCTTACTGAAATTTATCTAATACTTTGTACAAAAGCCTTTGTTGGCAATGACAGCTTCAAGACGCCTCCTGTATGGAGAAACTAGTGGCATGCATTGCTCAGGTGTGATTTTGGCCCATTCTTCCACACAAACAGTCTTCAAATCTTGAAGGTTTCGTGGACCTCTTCTATGAACTCTGATCTTTAGTTCTTTCCATAGATTTTCTGTTGGATTCAGGTCAGGTGATTGGCTGGGCCATTCCAGCAGCTTTATTTTCTTTCTCTGAAACCATTTGAGAGTTTCCTTGGTTTTGTGTTTGGGCTCATTGTCTTGTTGAAATGTCCAGCCACATTTCATCTTCATCATCCTGGTAGATGGAAGCAGATTTTTATCAAGAATGTCTCTGTACATTTTTCCACTCATCCTTCCTTCAATTATTTGAAGTTTGCCAGTACCATATGCTGAAAAACAGCCCCACACCATGATGTTCCCACCTCCAAACTTCACTGTTGGTATGGTGTTTTTGGGCTGATGTGCAGTGCCATTTGACCTCCAAACATGATGTGTATTCTGGCATCCAAACAGTTCAATGTTGGTCTCATCTGACCAGACTATATTCTCCCAGTATTACACAGGCTTGTTTAAATGTTGTGCAGCAAACTTTAAAGGAGCTTCAACATGCTGTTTCTTCAGCAGTGGAGTCTTGCGTGGTGAGCGTGCATACAGGCCATGGTGGTTCAGTGCATTACTTATTGTTTTCTTTGAAACAAACGTACCTGCTAATTCCAGGTCTTTCTGAAGCTCTCCACAAGTGGTCCTTGGCTCTTGGACAATTCTTCTGATCATTCTTTTCGCTCCTCTGTCAGAAATCTTGTGAGGAGCACCTGGTCGTGGTCGGTTTATGGTGAAATGATGTTCTTTCCACTTCTGAATTATGGCCCCAACAGTGCTCACTGGAACCTTCAGAAGTTTAGACATTCTTCTGTAACCGATGCCATCATTATGCTTTGCAACAATAAGGTTATGAAGGTCTTGAGAGAGCTCTTTACTTTTACCCATCATCAGATGGTTCTTGTGTGATACCTGGCCATCATTTGGGTCTGAACCAGCTGATATTAACTTGCACTGACAAGGGGCAGGCTTGCTTTCTAATTACTGAGAGAGTTCAGCTGGTGTCTTGGCTTTCCATGCCTTTTTACACCTCCCTTTCTTCATGTGTTCAATACTTTTTCCCTGTGCCATTCCACATTATTACAAATAACTTCATTTCTGGACATTTATGGTTTGATTTCTTTGTATGTATGGATCACTTGGGTTGTTACTGACATCTGATGAAAAATTCATGTCATTAGCACCTCTAGTAATATGTTTACTGAGAAAAATGGTGACGTGTTCAATACTTATTTTACCCACTGTATATTCAAGCTGCATCTTCAATTAGTAAATGTGAAAAACAGTGAAGAGAATTAGCTACACTTGATGTTAGCCAGTCCTTTTGCTGAAACCAGTTCACAGAAAGCTTTGGTTTTGCTTCTTTTCCTTTTGCAGGATTTGAATATCCTTTGGTGGGTGTGCCCCCAATCTCTTCACTTCTAGATTTTCCCTCCAAAGACATGAAGGAAATTGGGCGAGAAATTAAATAATCCACCTCGTTTGTGTTAATACCTACACTCAATCTTCACCAAACCAAGGGGATGAGACAAGGCTTCTGTCAATCATTCTGTATCAAAACGAATATTAAAAATACAGAGATGCCTGAAAAGTTAGCCCTTTTGAAAGACTCTGGGATTTTTTCAAGACTGTTTGGCACCACGTTGTAAATTTCACAAAATGGGCTACATTACTTTTCATTTGTGTTTCAAGTATTTTTAACATTTTAATTGTAAACCTCAGGGGAGGCTTAGTCCTACAAGTCCGCTAGTTTTTTTATTTTATTTTTTTTACTCATATTCAAAAGCAAAGAGAAACCCGCGAGCCATATTGTGGGACTGTGAATGCTAGAAAAGTTGCTGTAAATAAATTACCATGTGAAGCAGTGCTGCCTTAAGGTAATGAATATAAACACAGGAAAACAAGTGCAAATGGGTCCAGATAAAACTTCATTTAGATTTAGACTGAGACCATCTGTGGACCACTAAAACACAGCATCTACAAATTATTTTGTTAGTTGCAGTTTTTGTTAGTTGTGAGGGAAAAGCATAACATTTGCTGACAATAATGGCAGACAGCAAGAAGTGTAAAGAAAACTGCAACATGCTGGGACAGAGGGACATGCTGTGCTGCTTTATTTCTTATTTCATTTTAATTTCTCAAACAAAGCAGATAAGGCAGCATGATTTGAAAAGCAGTGTTTTTTTATTTTTTTTGTTCCTGCTTCATATTGGGTTTCAGCTGCTCAACCATTTGAGGCTAATTTTTGTTATTCGTATTATTAAATAGTTTCAGTGGGGAGACCAGTCAGAACTAGAGGAGGGACAAATTAGCCAAGACGCTGTCACTACTGGATTAAATTACAATGTGGCTTTGGCAATGTTTTTGTTGAAACAAGTGTCAGCTTTGTGTTCTTCAAAACCTTGTATGAATGAGTTGTTGCTCTAATTTTGAGCCTGGAAGATTTGATTTATTCCCAAAATGAAATTAAATCCTTTTTTGTGAAATCTCAAGATTGTGCACAATGAATTTTTGTGGTTGTTTTTCTTGAAAGTACTGCTTGTGACTCATCCTAAAAAATGGAAGCCATCTTGCTGATCTATAGTTGCATTGTGCAACTTTTCCGAGCTTTTTTGTTGCCTCTGCACCTTTTTGTGTTGTTGGTAATAAATTAAGAATAAGCCAATTTTTATGTGGAAAAAAAGATTACCTATACAAAAATGTACAGTTTTATCTTTATAACATGATTTGTTATCCTATTATGAAAATGATAAACAAAAGATTAATCAGCAAAACACGGCTAAGACTGTCTAAACCAACTAAAAGAGAAGTTAACATGCTTAAGAAGATAAACTGAGTGGAGAACACAGCCGAAGTAAGGCCAGAAGCTTCCTCTCCAAGATGCTCAACTAGCCAAGCTAACTCTTGGCCAGGCCTTAGTCCAACTGGAAACTTTCTCTACACTGGCAGATCTACTGCAGCTCCTGAAGGAAGCCAGGAGCCCTGAGGTGCACCAGGACCTGCAKGTTCTGAGAAGAGGAAAGATATCCTGGAAGGTTTTCAAAAATGGCAGCTCCAGACTTTCATTGTTAACGGCGGTAAAAAGTTAAAATACTCCTGTTCTGAGACTATTACTTGCTGATCATTCCCTCTGCAACTTAAGATTTGTGCTCCTCTTCAAAGATAAACAACTTAATTACCCTTGTAGCCATTACAATCATAGCCAAAACTGTGCAAACAAAGGTCAATGAACAGTACGCTGCTAGCAGGCCAAGATTATTGTATTCATTTGCTAAAGTAGGGAAAAAAGGACACAAAGCATACATTCAGCTGCATTAGATTTTGTATTTATTTATGCTTTCTAGAACTAAACTTTTGGGGAAAGTTGGGAGAAAAAGTTGGGAAAGATTCACATGTCCTGACAGGACTTGAACTATGGTTCTTTTCAAGAAATTTACTAAAAGGTATTTAAAAGTTTATTTCAGAGAAGAAAGAGTTTAACTATTACATCTTTTTTTGAGCTTGGCTTACTAAAAGTTCTAAAATGTAAAATGACTGCAAACATTGTTCATGTATAAGTCTACAGTCTTATAATCAGCCAAAACATATTTTTGTTCTTGTTTGCAGTTTATAATGCAAGATCAGAATGTGTTAGATTATAAATATTGTTAGCCTGGAAATGTTTCCTCGTTTCAAGAAGTCTTTCCAAGAAACGTAAAACCCGGTATACCTGACTGACATCATTAGTCAAAGTTAGCATGTATGCATTGTTGGTGTCCACAGAAGCATTTCTGAAGATGAATAAGCTGTTCTAATGATGCCATTTTAGTTTAGAGCTGGTAATTTAGCGTGACGGGCCATCAGTCTGCAGAAGGCTTTCAGATCACATACGGTTTCTGGTTTTTAGAGGAACTGCTTAGAAGAAAGTATACAGACCTTTGTTTGAGTTTCTGTGCAAAAATGTGGTCTGAAGTGCACAGATTCACTCCACTGCCAGTTAGTGCACAGTAGATGCAACACGCATTGCTATAGTGGTGCATTTACTGCCAATGCAATCTAAATAAACTGTCTACTTAGACTTTTAGAGTGTTTCCAGTCTGCTCTGACAGCTAACTAAGGCATAGCATCAAGTCTGAGTTCTTTTTTTTAATTAGGAGCTAAAGCTTCCAAATGGAAATTTTCAAAAGAAGGAAAGCCACTCAATTCAATTCTAGCAGTCCTACTTGGCATAATTGGCTTGAAAGCATGTTTAAAAAACTAACTAATGTACTTACAGCAAAATGGAATTACTTCCAGTTATAAGACTTCAGAAAAATAAATGACTGGAGTTAGGATTATGTGTCTTGTGTGAATTCTGCACAAATGAGCTAAGGCTGAAGGTTTTCCCTCTTTTTATATATAGAGAACAGAGTTTCTGTTAAATCAGACAATCCTGTGTTTAATATCTCACAGATACATGACTGTTACATGCAATACAGAATATTGAAAGTTGGCCTGTCTGTTCAGATTATTTTGTGTTGCTTCTGTTTGTGTTTTTACTATCCTGTAATAGTTCTAATGAAACTGGATTAAATAACCCTCAGTCCTCTCCTTAAACCCCTCTGCTTGCATTTTATTYTAGGTCTTGAAGAAGATAACAAACTACATCCAGGAGCAGAATGAGAAGATCTACGCTCCTAGAGGGCTGCTGCTTACAGACCCCATAGAGAGAGGAATGAGGGTCGTATCCTTTACTTTCCTGCTACTGTACTCTGGGTGTACAAAAATAGTTGTATGTTCAGAGAGGGCAGAGGCAAATAACTGGCATCACTAGAACTGTTACAGATAGATTGCCTAAATTAAAAAGAAATACAGCACAGCGTTTTTTGCTTTTGAATGATGCCTTTTGTAGGAATTTTGGTTTCCAGGAATAAATCAAAAGCAGGAAAGTTTGAAGACATGCATGCAAAGTCTTTTAAAAAAGAATAGTTGAAAATCAGCCAAAAATTAGGTATGCAGTTGTGGTGGAGATTTTTTTTTTCTTCTATTGCTCCAAAATAAGGGTTTGCTTTGTGGTCTCCTTAACATTTCTAGCTGTTTGTGTAGCTCGTGGTACATTATTTTACAGATGAGCTGTTCCACTTTTAGAAGAGGCCAACAGCATGTCTCTCTCTGAGAGCTGGAGGGATTACACTTACAGGCAAAAGGAAAAAGAAAATGTGTCCAACAGACCATCACATAGGCCTGGCCCAGACCACCGTAAAGATCAAGCTTCACCTCCAAGGGCCAACTTTGTACCAACACAGTCAGAGCTTTTTTTATAAACTATGATCACTATTTCCAAAAAACTGGATCGAGGGTTCATTATCCAAAACAACAGATTAGCAAGTGTCACGCTTTAATGTGTAACAGTTCTGAAGTCATGTTGACTTATTTGGGCCAGTGAGGCTGGAACTGGAGGTCTGTTTGGGACACAACAGAGACTAGTCTTTTTTAAAGTGAGTCCAGATCTTGTGCTTTTTTGGCTGCATCATGTTGATTTTGTTTTGGGCCGGTCTAAACCTTTTCCATCATCTGAGCAAGAAGACGGGGAGTCCAATTTCTAGTCAGGCCTGATGATCCTCTGCAGCAAACGCTGATCAGCCTCAGGGCATGGAATTACAAAGCAACTTGAGAAAATATACTTATGTACAGAAATTGTTAAACTTATTGTATGCAAAACCCTTCATCCAGTTTAAATAGACATTTTGTTACAAACTCTACATAAAGTGTGTTTAAATCATATTCCTTTTTGCGTGTGGAAAATGTTTTGTGTGACGATGAAACTTAGCAGAAAAAGTAAGGAAATGTGTTTTGTGATTTGCACAATATAACTTTTACATTCCTGTACCACTCAAATATCTAAAATTGGCTCAAATCAAACAATCCAGTAAATAGCAAATTGGGATATGACAAAATCAGTGGTGAGCACAGTTCTATGAAGGTACCTTCATACAGTTCCCCTAAAGCACTAATAGGGGAAACAATTTCCTGATGAGTGCTTTTGGGCTTTTTAAAAAAAATAAATTAATTTGTGGATTAGGACTTACTAAATTTAGAAGCACTAACCGAGACATTTAAATGCTATTGACCAATATTACTAACAGCGGAGGGTAAAAGCTGTCAATCATTTTATTCATGTGTGACACTTATCCAATAGGTGACATATTGGTGACAATATTCTGCACGCAGTAAATATTCTTATGATAGCAAACCCTCATGGGTTGGAAAAACATTCTGTTTCTGTCAGAAGTTGTATACTGACTGACTGCACTCCTGCCAACAATTATAGCCCTACCATGAACAAAGGAAAATGACGAATGACCAAGAGAGCTAACAATCCTCTGTAACTGTTAAAACCACCATGAGTGAAAGGTCTGTTTCAACAAATCACCTCCCTAAACTGCTTGGACACACGTAAGGCTGTGTAATGTCAATGATGAGACTCAAGAGAGCAACGTGTGACTCATGTTGACTCTGAAGAATCTTCCATGGGTTGACTGGGTTATATTAGTGCTTTAGAATTAGCTTTTGCTAAAATTTTCAGTATGTTAATGCTTTAGAATTAGGGGACCTAAATATCTGAGTTAGTGCTTTAGGGCTAATGCAACTATTTTTTTAAGATTACTTCTGCCCAACACTAGACAAAATTCACGACCATCTTCATTTGTTCCTTGACATTCACTGTGTCCTCAGCTAGAGGTCAGCGTGTTTGAAGACCGGGGCTCCGACGGCTCCAGTCCCAGCAGCAGCCTATCATCATGCAGCAGTGCTCGATGACTGGAGGGGCAGCGCCAGGCTTATGGGTACCACCACAGGGGCAGCGGGACGCTTACCAACATTCGCATGCTGAAACATGAGAGCACCAGGTTCTAGGACAAATAGTGGGAAAAAAGGGAAAGGAGGTGATCCACAGCACTCACATGTGTCCTGCTGGGGTCTTCATCATTCCACCTTTAAAGGATAAGATGCTCTTTATAAACATGGATAAGATAACAAACACAAAGATGGCAGTATGTTTCAAAATATGTCACTTTTTATTTTTTCCATTCACCTCTCCTTATCTTATTACATCACATCAGTTTTCATCAATCACTCATCTCAGGCAGGCTCACCTTTAATCAGACTGGGAGTCAACGTGCTTTTATTTTATTACATCTATCTGTCAATTCACAGGCAGTTCATTCCATCAGCAGCTCTGACATCCAAAAGAAAAAAAATATATATCTTCCAGCCCCCCAGGAGACACGGTGCTCTCTGTTCTTGCTGAAGTCAGGCTGCTCTGAATGRTGGCAAATTGGGCTGACCGTGGGAACTCCACACCATTCACGGGCATTTGGTGTAACAGCTAACAAAGAGCGTGCGGAATTATTTATCTTTCTTCTTGTCTCGCAGTGGATATAGCTGATCCACATCACAGCTGTAGGTCTCTCACACAGATTCATACATACGTGCACAAGCGTGCAAAAGCACCATACAGACATGTTATGTGAATGGTCACTAAAACACACCTGTAGCGACATGCATTCCTGCACACGTTTGGATCATCGTGGACCTGGCACCAGCAAATATTTTGTGTTTGGTTTTAACTCATTGGGAACACAGAGAAATTCAGGTTCAAAAGTGCTTGTTTTCTTTTGTGCATGGGCTTTTTGTACGTGTGTGGCTGCGCAATTAKTTCCAGATAAAAAGCCTGCAAATCCTCAAGATGTCACAAATCAGWGCCCCCGAAGAGACATACTCGCTCCTGAGAAAGTGGAAAGAGTGTGGGCTGTTATCACTAACGCAAAAAAAAAAATATGGTTATTTATGTGAGAGATGTGCTTTTTGTTTGAGTGCAGAAAACTGCAGGAGAATCAGCCCACACAAAGTCGAAGACCTGAACCTCTTATAAGCGGTTTTCAGTCGTCATGTTGATGCAGATTGTCTTTAAAAAAATACAGCAAGAACAAAAGAGATGCTTGGTATTTATTGTGTTGTGTTGAACTGGAAAGACAATGCAGATAACATTTCACAGGCAGGTGAAAAAGATAGGGTTTTAACATAAAGGAAAGTTTTAACTACTTACCTGAAATCTAGTATTCATCTGAACATTTTATGCTGATCCTCAGAAAAACCGAGCATCTATTGTATCTAATGTGTTTGTGATTGTGTGCAGTTTAATGAGATGAACTGCAATCATTATGTTGTTAAAAGGAGATGAACAGAGAACCAAAAACACACATTTGTAGCAAAAGATAAGAGCTGCTGAATGTTCACCTTTGTTTGTAATTTTCTCATCAGTTTTATTCATTTAAAATCTAAGTTTTTTATCATTTTATTTGTTTACCCATATCATCCTATCAACTCTACAAGCAAATAAGCCCTTTTTGATCTTTTTACCTCTTAATTATGAGCAGAAACTGCCCTCCAACTGGCCTTAAAAGGTAAATGAAGTCATTGCAAAACTGCTGTTTTCTCCAGATAGTTTGATTTCAGTATTTTCACACCACCTGAATGACTGATCAACTTCCCACAGCAGTTGAGTTTAGCAGTGCTTGTGTTCAGCCTCCTTTCCTTTTTTTTCTTTTTGATGCCTTCATGTTTCATCCCAGTGGGAATGGATACCCAACCTGGGGCTGATGGACTAAGCTATTTAAAAATGAACTCAACACTGCCAATAAGCACATTAAGGAGCTCGTTGGACAGATAAAAACAGAATATAAATGTCTTGTAAAGGGAGAAAATGTATTCTATGTTTGTTAAATGTTAAGAAATTGATTTATATAATGATTCTTAGTTCATTGTTTCATGACTCTACATCCTCTTTAACTTTGAAAATGGAAAAAAAAAACAAAGAGAACATATTTATTTGTCATTTTGTGACAATTTTTTGTCCAAAATCTTTGTTTAAAATCTCATCATTGTAGCTTTGGATATTGATAATGGTATTAATGATGATCAGAAATGGGTTGTTTATGATGGTGGTCCTCAGGGGAAAATCTAAATGTGCCAGATTTAAAGAATCATTAAGGGTATGTAGCCACATTGAGAGAATTAATGCTGTCACTCTTGGTTGGAAAGTCTTTCAGTTTGATATTTAGAGTTTTAAATGAAATTTTTCAACTACTGCATCAATTTATTTTTATGTATTGTATGTATGTATGAATAGTAATATTTTTGGAATCCCTCATTAATTTTCTAACTTGTTTTTCATGACTATAATAAGAGATCTGCAATATAAAATTTAACTGGCAACATGTAAATTGTGTTTAGTGCTAATTAGTAAAAATTAGACCAATTATTATATAAAAAAAAAACCTACAGAGATCAAAATGTACTTAAAAAACTACATAAGCAGTGCTCCTTAACCTAAAACAATACTTTCTTGCACAGTATCTTAGTTTATTGCTGCAATAATGTACCAAAATAAACCACTGCCACTTGTTCAACAAAAACAAAAATGTCATTAATCATGCAAAAATTATTATATTTTTCTGTACTTTTAGTACAGTTTGTCATCACTGAAAGTTTGGTATAAAGAAATTTAATTAATTAATTTATTTATTTTCTGTTAAGTGGAACGAGAAATGTTTTATGTGATTAATGTGGTTGTTTCTTTGTAACTTATAATTCTTTGCTTTTATTTTGACTGAATGACACCAAACACCTTAGAAGACTGATCCCTAATTACTGAAACATTTGAAGTACAAGAGTTTTAGCAGAGTGTGATTTCTTTAAAGAACCAGTTTTATCAAAAACAGTAAAGCCAAAGTTTTACAAATGTTTCATATGTGCCAAGTATGCTTTTAAAGTAAAGGTCAAAATAAAGACTTGGCAATTAAAGGAGCTAAAACAAGTTTCTGACAAAGCTTTTCACATATACTGTATATKAATCTCAACAAACAATACTTTAATCATTAAATAAATATAATAAAATCTGAAAGCACCTTCTAAACKTATATTTTAAAAAGTTGTTGTATACATTCCTCCTTTACCAGAAAAGTTTTTATTAATTAACTAAAGGGGTGAAAACACTCAAGATATCAATGAGATTGTTTTTAATGTTTTTCACCAAAAAGATGTCTTTRGAAAAGAAGCTGATGAATTTTATTACAATGTTTGTAAAGTTCCGTTAGTATTGTACATCTTTGTTGTATTTTTACTGCACTGTATTTGAAATGAACCAGTCATTAGTGAGAACATGCTGTATGTTTGATGAGCTGTGAATGAGATTATTAAACAGCTACTGTAATGTTTTCATAAGAATATAAAAGATGACATGTGCTATTTGTTGCCATCCTCACAATCKTGCTTTGAGTCCTGAGTTTTTTTTTTCACACCAATGATTTAAACTGCATGATGTGTGTTGAAGCATAAATGCAAATGATAAGAAATGAAATCCAGATTTACAAACTTTGTTTTACAACTTAATACCATGAATTAATCTTTGATTAACTTCCTTCTTCCTTTCAGTGTTCCTGAAAAGATAATCTGCTGTGAGCTGCTGTTAGTATCTAACAAGTTAAAATACATGTATCTGTTAAAAAGCTTAGTCAACATTGTGTCTTTGAACTGGGGTCACTTCTTGGTTTCTTTCACACACCAAGATATCCACGTTAAAAAACAAAAATAAATAAACCTCACAGTCAGAATAAATCATTTCACTTGGTGGACGACACTTCAAGATTTCTGTACTGCAAAGTACATTTTTTGAGTTCCTGTGCCTGTTCTAGAGTAAACGGTCAGGGTTAGGCTATAAAATGACCTGAAAATAAATGAAAGGAGGTCAATCCACGGCCCCCACAGGGATATAAAAACAAACCTGTGTGTGTGTGCGTGCGTGCGTGCGTGCAGATGAGGTTTACAGTACATCCATCATGGCCTCCTCAAGTCTAAACGTTAGTGATAATGTTCTGGTTCAGATGCTGAGTCTGCAGATCATAAGAGTGCAGAGGGGGAGGAGAGGTGAAAATGAGCTGATGGTTTCTCAAAGATGTCAAAGGTCTGAAAAAACATCCCAACAACTGAGGTCATAGGTCCCTTTCTTTCTAAAAAAAAAAAAACACTTTTTTTCCAGGACGTTGCTATTAAAACCATTCAGTTTCCGTTTTTAAATGTATTGTTTGGCTGCTGCTTTATTATTGCTTGTTCAATCAAGAGAAAATAAGTCGTCTTTTAGCCTYGATTTGCTTTGCTTTTGCCCAAAATGTTGCATAAAAAATAACAATATGCATGTCGTACATGTCATTTTAGATCTCCTAATGGAGAGATGGAGATTATCGTCTGAAGGAAAATAAATGTTTCTTTCTTCTTCAAACAGCTCTGAAATAAATTGAGTTCTAAGTGAAGCGGAGATAAACGCTGACAGAGAAACAGATAGAAGAGATTGTGCCGATTTTATTTATCAAACACCGAATTCAAGACCAAAGGAGGAGATAAAAGGAGATACGCAAATGAAAGCCTGCTCCTCATCACCTCATTAACTATAATAAATGAAAACAGGGTCTTTTTGGAGTCAAATGGTTGAAGAGAAATGAATGAGTGAGAATGCGAAAGATCAGTAAACTATAGCTCCAGTTCAAGTTTTGATAAAAAAACAAAGCTAAAAAAATGCACAATGGCCTCAAAGACCTTTGCAAAATGAATATTCCACTAAGTCCTACAGTGTTTATTAGGAAAATATCCCAACTGAATTGACAGCAAGACCAAAAGATACCTCTTAAACTCACGGCAACACTAAAATTATTAAATGGCTGAAATCAGACATCCCACCACCACCAAACACACATATGATACAAAATGTGTGCAATATTTATCTGATGGAGAATCTTAATTAGACTACAGAAATCTATCTTGACCAAACAGTGGAAAACCATATTTACCTTTATTAATACAGTGAGAAACACCATGTGCTCCACCAGCTCACTTTTCCTGCACACCACATGCTACCCCACCCAATAAGAACAGGATGTCTCTGGATGATTTTTTTTTTTTTTTTGTGGGATTACAGAGTGGATATTTATGTTTTTCTTCATCCTTCCATGTTTGCTCTTTTTGCCATGCTTTATTGCTTGGCATTGGAATCTATTATGTGTAATAACTGCATGAATAAATGTATATATGACCTATCAGAGCGATGATTAAGTCTCAAAGTTGTATGTAGTGTGTTGGCTAAAATGTTTGCAACAATAGCATTTTGTCAATTTATAATGAATAAATACCTCATAAATGGCTCATTTGAATGAACTGCCTGAAATATAATCATGATTTTGAGCAAAAATGTCATTTTTTAAAATGTTTTCCGTGCTAGCTAAGATTTTCTTCTTTCCAGCTGGGACATCTTAATATCCAAATAATATTTGAGATTCCCTCTTTAAAACAACAAAAATTCCTTATGATTTAAACCAAATATTTTGGGTTATCCTGATTACGAATTGCTTGTGATGATCTAAGTACCAAAATGTAGCTTAAAAAGCCAGGAATCTGAAAAAATATGAGGTCATTTTGATCAAATTTGACTTAATCCTCACTTTGATGTGATGGCTCACATATATGATCAAAACATAAACAGCTATAGAAGGAAAAATTGTGTGGAAAAAAAACACCCACCTGGTTCAAGAAAAAATTTATTAGGAAATAATCTTCAAAACATGTCAGGGGATCAGTTGGTTTGTAACACTTCTACAGACGGTGTGAAACTTAGGRCTGTCAATGGGTTTTGCTCTTTTCAAAAATAAAAGATTTTTAGCAGCTTTAGCTTTTGAGGTTTTCAGTTTTGTGGCAACATATTTACAAGAAGTTAAACGTGGGTACTTTTAAAATTTGTATTTGTTTTTGTTTTACCTTAAATTGAGCCACTAATTAGGCTACTAGTGAGAAGACTATTACTACCACCAGATGTTTTTTTATGTTTTCGGCAATTTTCTTCTTTTTTTATCCTAAAATGTTATTTTCTTTCATTCACTTTAATTTCATTTTCATTCTTGACACCTGCTGGTCATTTCAGTTTTAATGCTTGCTCCAAAATATACTTTTTTTTCTTACAGTGCACTTCATAACATTGCCCTGTATCTTTGTGCGCTTAATCACACAGAGCCATGTGTTTATCGGCTCCCCTGCATGTTGCATTATTCATAGACAACAAAATAAATCCTGCCTTCAGCGACAGATGGTCTGGCATATGTTCCCCTACCTGATCGCCTCTTCAAATCACACACGTGGCCCACACAAACCCACTGATATACACACAAAACCTACAGCTTTAGTTTTTTGGCCTCTTAATAAACCCATAATGAAAACGAGAGTGATATTGGTGGGGGGG